AACAACTTTTTTTTTTGAAACAATGGGGTCACTCTAGTCTACATTATGCCTAATTCAAATAAAGAATCTAATAAATAATGTGTCAATATAGACAAATTAAGAATAATGGACTGGATTTTATACAAATTAAGAATAATGGTGGAATTTAAATTGTTAACATCATAAAACTTATGATTCTTAATTAATGTATCAAAACCTTGGACCATGGTTGATGGGTTCAGGGATCTATTTTCAAATGAAACTGGATTCGTTGGTTTTTTGAAAGTAGATTCCACATATATGGATCCCAAGATTATACATTATCAAACCTTGGACCATAGATGATGGAAGCGGGGATCTATTTCACAATAGTACTGGAACCCCCTAATGGTTGGAACGTGATCCCTGTTATTGGGAGCGAGATACCAAATTTTTAGGAACGAGATTCCAAATTTTGGGAGCAATATCCCTAGATTTTGGGAGCGAGGTTCCAAAAAAGAAAATTCGGGCTCCCCATGAGATCCCTAAGAAGAACCGTGGGATTGAGGTTTCGGAGCGGGAACGGGACCGTAAAGCAAGAATGGAAAGGACGGCATAGGGAAGGTGAAACCACTTGGTATCATTCTTAAAGAAAAAAAAGTCAGGGAATATTTTGGTTTTTGAAAATGTGATCACTATGGGCCAATTTGGATGTAATTACTATCATAGGTAATTCACTGTTTCCATAAAATTAATCATGATAATGAATTATCTGTTGTTTGGTAGTTTTCGATCATAAAGATATATGAAATAAATTCATATGCAATCTTACATATAAAATATAAATTTATCTTTTTGAAAAGTTGTTTTCATTTTATTCAATGTAGTTTGCTGAAATCACATGTTCTTAGATAGAAATAGCTAAAAACATTTGGAAATCAAAGAAAAAGTTAAATAATTAAGTAATATTATACATAACACAAGATACTTACCGAAGAGCTAGCAAACTAATATTATACAAAGTATATTGATTTTAGATAAGACAGCCTTTTCCAGGTAAATTAATTGTCATCCAAAGAGGCCCTATAAAAATGTACTTAACCGATGCCCCCCCACCCCACCCCACCCCACCCCCTCCAAACAGAAAAAAAAGGTCACTGTAAAGATGCAAATGACACAAACCAAAATTGGGAAGTACCTATGATGCCATAAATCTCATCTCCTCAAAGGCATCCTATTTATGTGGACATTTACACCGAAGTTAGCAATCCCATCAGTCCCACAAACTTTAGCTTCAGAAATATGAACAACATTAATAATATGAAAGACAAGTAAAAGGTCCTCAATTCATAGAAAATGCAAATGACTCAAGACAGGCCAATAATCTGTATCTTGCCATAGCCATAAACCCAAACATATTCAATGTAGTCATAGGAATTTACTTGCGGAAATGAATAAGAAAAGCAAAATGTCACCTGAAAGTCATTGAATGCTTCACTGATCTTTGAGCCCATGTCGCCATTTGTTGGCGAGGCCAATTGTTGGGAGAAGATATCTGTCTTGTCAGAAGAATGACCTTCTAACCCTTCGCTCAACCTCGATGCAAATTGCTCCAAAGGCCTCAAGCAAACAGCTATAACCCTCTTGTATGTATCACCAGTCTCTTCAAAGAAAGCCGCTCGGCGCCAAGAATCGACATTACTCTCAGAAACCATGCACAGATCAAGATAGGCTAAATAGTGGCCGAAAGATCTTGGAATACTTTGCTCCAATGCAGCAATAAGGGTTTCACTAGGGTTTGTTTCTGCTGCAGCTGAACCTTGAGAAGGAGCAAAAACACATCTCCTTGTGTGCAAAACCTAAAGATAACAGCAAAAGAAAAAAAAATGCATTGATGAGGATAAAAGACCACCATTCAATTAAGGGATACCATAATCCAAAAACCACTATTTAAATAAGGGAAAGTACACCATAATCCAAAGGAGTTGTGCATACAGTACTCCAAAGAGTACTAGTCGTCTATCTCTAATGAAAAACGATGGAGATTAACTGTATGTGGGGGATTGTCCTAGTGGGATCCACTAAGTTAATCTCATCATCTAGGAATGAACGGGAGATTATGATTTGAGGAGTGGAGCACATATAATAAATAACAATCCCTAAAATTACTACACGTAAGTGGTGCAGAATCAGGTTAGGATCGAAGTAATACACATGTGAGAGATCAAAATAACAAGGAGATAATGAAGGAACGAACCTGAAGCAAATGAACACTGAATTCCCAACAGAAGTAGATAACACATGTTCCAAGGTATAATCCAAATTGCTGAGCCATGAATTTTCCCATTGCGCCATTGCTCCTTATGCTAAGTGGCAAACATACCATGAAAAGAATTGTGCACAGCTCTGCTATAGAGGATAGTTTTATCGCTTGCAAAAGAGACTGTGACAACCCCATCTTGAAACTGAAATAGAGAGGACGCTGCAAAATAGGCCAATTAAACCATCAGCAATTCCTCGATAAAACAGAAACCTAAGCACATTCTAAGGAATTTTATAATTTTTATCTATGACTAATACCTAATGAGATTACAATGAAGTTCTGAAACTTGCAACTGCTATTCTCAGCTTCAAGCATCATTAAAGCCAAATTAATTTCTGACCAAATATGTGCACTTATCGTTCAGATATGTAGAAAGAAGAGAAGGAAATCTTTAGACAAGGTCATGAGTATTTTATATAAAAAGAAAAAGCAAAAAGAAAGGAATTCAATAATTTCATCTATCACAAAATAAAAAAGACAATTATATTCCAGTTTGATTCTGGTTTCTTACACAATAACATAGATGTATATATATTTTAGGAAATTGAGAGACGAACAATTAAGCACTTTATCAATATCTATTTATTTCATTTCAAAATACCCATAAAAAAACACATGGTCGAGTCAGAATAGTTGCAAAATGGCAAAAATTTTAATACTTCATCTCTGATGGGTATTTTGATAAATTTCCCTATATATTTTTTTTGAGAAAGGATAAATTTCCCTATATTTTATCATAGCATTATCCATGTCAAGATATTCATGGAATTCAAATATTATCCTTCAAATGAGAATCCAACGATACCTTCATATTTATACGAAGGGAACACACTCAGAGAGTGGCAACTCACGATACCTAATAACATGATACTAGAGTTTCCTATTTGCATGAAGTCCCCCATCTTAAAAGGACTCATCAAATTTATAAACTTTTTTATGTCAAACCAATGCTAAGCTTCATAGATGTAAAGGCAAAATTTGTAATCATTAATTCAAATCTTTTACATATCTAACTTTGATTTACTGCCATGAGAAAGATAATATATCATGGTCTACTATACTTGAAATACATATGGACGTTATTAAGAAGAATATATATGTCGAGAGTTCTCTTGTGACAGGCTAGTTGGGGGTTAAGTTCTGGTCCTTTAAGAGAGTCTATAAAAGGGTATTACATTGGTGATCTGTGCATGCCCTAGAGGGGTCACCATGTGGGAAAGGTGGATTTCCCAGTGTTGTTATATTTGCTTCGCTTCAAGTGAAGCCATTCAAAACGCTATTCAAACTTTAAAACAAAATTGCCACGTAATAACTCTCTACGCGAAGAGAGAACACAAAGCCCCAAATCCGAGGGGCGTGTTACATGCTTCACTACCTACGTGGCACCATAACACCATCCCTCATCAGCAGGTACCACCTTGCTCATCTCTTTTAGTTTTATAAAATCCCACAACGATCCTTAACTTTTATTACAATAAAATTAGCCTCTTCATTATATGAAAGGGTGGTTATGCCCTCACATGATAAAATAATTGAATATCTTTTTTTCTCCATTTTTCAAAATTTTGATATTTTTTATTTTTATTTTTTATTATTTTAATATGTATATATATAGAGGGTGCAGTTTCTATAAGGTTGCAACCTTAGACAATCCAATTAAGGCATACCTCCAAATTTTATCATAACATGTAATTTTGTTGTAAAAATTTTTAGGAAT